TCTTTAAAATCTTTAATCCCAACCAAACATAAAAATATGGAACAAAACAGTCTATCTTTTTCTATTAATATAAGGTGTAACTTATATCTGATAATTATAATTAACATTTAAAAAAAATGTTTTTAAGAAAGAAAAATATTGTAACAATGTGCCCCTAACGGGGGTAAGTTGTTACAGGGTTGGGGCAAATCGTTACAGATAAAATAATGTATAGAAAATCTTAATATTAATTAGAAAACATTTATATATATATTTGGTATATAGTTTTTTGACTTTGACAGATATCACTCATTATCTTCACTACTGATTTCCGATTCGCAATTGATGCAAATAAATTTTACTGCATCACCTTTTACGCAAGCAATATGAGCCTCTTAGCACATATTATACAGAAGCATTCGTCTTCAGAACTCGATGATGTTTTGGCTACCTCTTTTTTAGATTTTGATGCCATTTTAGTCTTTTTATTTTTATCTTTATTAAAAGATAATGATTTTTTTACTTTCTGTAGTTTTGCCTCTTTTTTTTCATTTCTTATATTTGCCTCTAGTTCTAACTGGTTTTTAATGGGTGTGTCAGTGAGTATCGCGGTTTTACATTTACGCCTGTTTGTATGACCTTTCCTCTCTTTTGCCTTTGTAAACGGGCGAATCTGCTCTGGTGTTATATGATGCCTTTTATTGATTCCACTTGTAGATGGCTGGGGCTCTAACTCAGAACATTGTTGGTGCACAGACTGTTGCTCTTCAGTTTGATCTTCATCGTTGCCTCTTGTTTCAATTAAATTACTTTCTAACGGTTGGGGTATGGGGCGATCTGTAACCGCAGATGGTAAAAAATCTTCATCGCCGAATATGTCACGGTTAAATGGCCAAATGCCGGAGACTTGGAAGCCCGACATTATGTTTTTAGGTGTTACAGCGAGCGGCAAAGCTTGTTTGACAATAGTAGGTATGTTGTAGATTCCCATTGTTATCCCAGGATTGCTTTTCATCCATCCATCTGTAGCATTGTTCACATATCGTTTGAAAGGACCATAAACTGACCTATCTAGAGGCTGCAGTTTATGTGATGTGTGTGGAGGAAACGAAAGCAGAATTATGCCATTGTCTTTTGAATACTTTATGACTGCAATTGAAAGATGTGTTGCATGATTGTCGAGGAGAAGAAGAATTGGTTTTTCTGGAGTGCATTTTACGTGTTTCACGAAGTGTGTTATGAAAAGTAAAAATGCCTCATCATTTACCCATCCGCTTGGATTTGCGGTTCCGATACACCCTGGCGGACCGTCTGCTATAAAATGTGGCTTGAAATATTTACGTGGAAATATGAAAAGTGGCGGAACTGAATTTCCACTAGCACTAACTGCCAAAATCATCGTCACCAGCGTTCCCCTCTCCGCAGAAGTAACGGCTCCAATTTGCTTCTCTCCTTTAGTGGCAAGAATTTTTCCTGGCTTCTGAACAGTCGTAACTCCCGTTTCGTCGACATTCCATACGTCCTGACACTCAAAATGAAATCTCTCATATACATTAGCGAGGTTGTCAAAAAACTCGCCCACATTATGTTTATTAAAGCTCGTGGCTCTACTCAAGCTGGTTGCTTCAGGTGTGCGTAGGGATAAAATTGGATTTCGATTCATGAAACCTTTCAACCAATCTTTGGTAGCACTGCTTTTAATTTTCCACTTGTCAGGAATTTGGATATTGTTAACACAGCAATATTCATATGCCAGTGTTTTGGCATCAGTTGTAGTCAAGCCATAAAATATTTTAGAGCATTTCTGTATGTATAATGTCAGTTCCTGTTCCTGTTCATCCGAGAATATTTGCCTGGGTTTAGTATATCCTACCAATTTTGTTGTACGACTAGCTTCCTCTTTTCGCTTCATATATCGTCGCAGCGTCATAAAATTAATTTTATAACAGTCAGCTGCTTTTCTTAAAGAAAATTTTCCATTGATGACGTCATTTGCGGCCATCTCATAGGTAGTTTCAGGTATTGCACCTCTGTCCGTTTTCTTTTTATAATTTCTAACCATGATGAACCTACACAAGAACCCAAAAAAATTCTAAACTGAAAAGAAAAATAAAAGTACCATAGGGGGGCACGTTGTTACAAGTAACAACTTGCCTCCGATATTGTGTAACAAGTTGCCCCAAGTGACGTCACATAACCAAGACGGCCGTAGTTCGATTTCTGTGTTTTCATTCATGCAACAATTATGACGAATCTAACATTAATGGTCTGTGATTCAAACAAAATGAGTGATACACTCTTACCTTTAACAGTCTAGCCAAGATGAGACTTCAAATCTAGGCAAAAAATCTTACTTTGGCACAGCAAAAATGATTTTTTTATGTAACTACGAAATAAACACGTCTGCGTTAACCTCATTTCGCTGAGCAGTGACAGTAACAAGCTCGAACGTGTTCCTAGTCGCACGAGCCGTGGCGCTACGGGACCGTGGTTTTTTACTCATTGTAACAACTTGCCTCTGTAACAACTAGCCCCGCCTTCCCCTAATACATATTTGATTTGGTGCAAAAATGACTTAATCCGGATTTTAAATGTGGTACTGTACAAATGTTTTTTTGATCACTGACCACGATGCACAATAATTCATTTATCTCTACGATATACGCTTTAAGAAATACTGCCCGATTAATGTGAAAAAGTGGCCAAATTTCGAGTTCAAGGTTCGTTTTAGCAATGTTCCAAGCGTTCAAAGAAGTCGTTACTTTTCTTAAATTATAGGTCTGTTCACCCAGAACAAGATTCAGTTGGAATTTTCCCGGAATCTCTTACAAGGTCTTTGAAAGTATCATTTAACTGGATTATTAATATGTTTTTAAGGATAGAAAACAATTTTTTTATAAGTTCTAAAGTATATTTCTTTGTAGTCTTGACATCCTTTAATCAAATGCCTTAATTTGACAATAAAATATTCTTTATTAAAAAATGAAATAAGTACATAATAATAAAAATATGATTTAATTAATTAAAATAAACTACCTATACAAAATAAGGAATGGAATCATAACAAAAATAGTAATGGAATTTTAATGAAATCATTATTGGTGATCTATATATAATTTATAATATATTATCGAAAATTTGGAAAATCGTGGATTTATTTTATATATTTTATAGAAAAAAAACGGTCATTATGTGGATAATTTCATATAAATTATATAGATCATCAATTATGATTC